TGTGTGGGCGCCCAGTCGCCATAGCCAGTTGAAGAGAACTCATATCTGGTTACGATATCTTGAGTACTGTGTGGGCGCATGTCGCCAGTTGCTGTTGCGCTGTTTGCATACATGACAAGTGTGAAGAAGTCGAGTATGATTGCAATAGCGTCCGTGGCCACAAAATGGGCATATAGTGTCCGGATGAGGAGGGTGACTGCAGTCAGGAACGGAGGGACAATCCTGTACACACATGGATGCAGAAACCATCTCGTGGTAGTGATTGTGACAAAGATGATGGCGAGTACACCCAAGTGCAACAGTGTCTGTGGCTGTGCATATATATCCTTAACACTCTTAAAGAGTGTAAAGGGTCTAGCGTGACGCTCCCACGGAGACCCGCTTGCCAGTGTTGGGAAAGGCGGCGGGGCAAGGGGCGGGCCCACGGGACACCTGTGTCCTTTTCTTTATCTTTTTTTGTCATTTTGTGGGCTCGCTCGCGTCGTTTCGTTTTGGACTCAGGGCCTCGCTGCTCTACTCACCAGACTGAATCTACTGCTGGAGTACGNAGACTGAATCTACTGCTGGAGTACGGAGAAAAATATTGCTTATCGTTTTTTATCGTTTTGTGGGCCAGCTCGCGTCGTTTCGTTTTGGACTTAGGGCCTCACTGCACTACTCACGAGACTGAATCTACCGCTAGAGTGCGGAGAAATACATTGCCATCTTTTGTCTTTTGCGCACGTAGATCCACGGCCCGCCCGTTTGTTTTTCTGCGTCGCGAAAGGGCGGTGGGGACGGTCGGGATGAGTCGGAGGGGGTGCGGGGAGGTGGGGACCAGGGCAGTGCACGGGGGGAGGGGCAACGCGAGGAGCAAAAGAGGGACCAGCGGAGGCAGGAACTGTGTGTGTGTGTGTGTGTGTGTGTGTGTGTGTGTGTGTGTGTGTGTGTGTGAGAGAGAGAGAGAGAGAGAGAGAGAGGGCATTGGTGCAGAATTGCAATTTTTTTTACCCCCCCTACTCTCAGTCCCCGCGCCGCCGTCGTGGCGGCCAGACGTCTTGTATATATAAAAGCAATGTCACAACCACCGAGCTGTTCACCCTACCCCGCCGCATTGCACTTCCTCCTGGAGTTCACGGCTCTGAATGAGTTTCATTGTCAACTGTGGTCAAGATTGACACCTTCAATCACTTCCATGCCCCTCCTTTTTCCCTTTTCCACTCACGAGGCCCCTCCCACACATCCTCATTTTGTCCCTGCTGCACCCCCTACTCCCCCTGTCCTGAGGCACATTGAGGACCTACAGACCTACTGGACAGCAGTCACAGGTACCAGTGTCGGACAGACTATCCACTCAGCCTTGGCTGGGGCCACGCTGAACGAACCTTGTCACACGGGCACTTCGGACACCAGGGGTGATCAGCAATATACCTGCCCCATGAGCTAACCCATACCGTTCGCAAATGAGTTCATGAGCAGGAAGGGAGCTTTCTCTAAAGCACGGTTAACATGATAGACGCCGATAAGCTGACATTGGAAAAAACGGCACGAGCCACTTGGGAACAGCAACGGACAGCCCCCAAGGATCACAGCGACGGATCAGGCTTGATTGAAGACGTGGATGCCACGGGAGGTCGTAAGGAAGATTTGACACAACTGGACAGCTCCACCTCAAGGTTGTGGATTGATCCTCCGGGGTTCTTGATGAATGTTGGCAGCCTGACAATACCAGTGGAGCTGTGACTGACAAGAACGCAATCAGGAAAAGGCTATCTGATATTCAATACTCCTTTCAGGGAGGGGAGCAATCCATGCAGGCAGAGAAGGACCAAGCCAGACAAGTTCACAAGCACAAAAAGAGATTTCCTCTAAATAATAGTTGCTACAAAGCCAAATCGTCATGATCAATGAACGAAAATAAGCTGCGATGGGAAAACTGACATCAGCCACTTAGGAACGGCAATATATGTTCGTTGTATTCGATTACAACGTACATACGTTGTATTTGACCATACGTTCTATTCGGGGGAAAAAAAAAGCGATTTCTAAAAGTCCGATTTTCAGAGGTAATTCGAATAGAACGTACGCATGTTGAAGGTAGTCCGATTTTCGACGTGACGGGGGGACTGGTGTTTTTTCCCAGCAATTTACTTCCAGCGCGGTGATTAACCTGCCGTGTTAGCAAGGGCTTGGTCTACTGGATCAAAATCGCAGGAAGCACCAGGCAAAGGAAAATAATTTGCGCGTGTCGGCTCATTTCTTTTCAGCATGCAGCAACAATCTGGGTCCGGAAAAAGAGGCTCTCGCAGTCACAAATGAAGAATGAACAGATCCAATCCATGTGAAGATGTTTTGACATCAGCACACGACACACACTTCAGACTTGAGGGTGTCATGAGCTGCCTCAATTGCTTTGAGCAGGCAGCCCCATGCATTCATCAGATTTTCATCGGCTTGCTCAGCATACACTCAGACTGGTACTGGCGCAGTTTGGAGTCTGGACACAACTCAACCCTGGGCTCCTTAGAGCCCTTCTGAGCGGCAGCAGCATAAGATAAGCACCACTTCAAGACCGTATCTTTAGATTCGGGATCCCTCATTTGAAAAAAAACACAGGTCCTTATGACCCTGACTCCATATCCATTCTTCTGATCAATATCAATTTTGCATTCACAGTGTCACACTGTTTTTTCCATCGAGCTGATACTTCTGCTCAGAATTGCTCACCCCCTCCAGGGTCTCCTCTCCCCTCCCCTCTCTCCCCCCCTCTCCTTAAACCAGCACTAATAGGATGTTGCAATCTTGTAGCATTTACTTTCAGTGGACTTCCACCTTTGTAAACATTGCTGGAATATCTTCGCACTCGTTACACACAAGGGCAAGTGTGATAAGACACGGAGTTCCGGATCGCACAAGTCATAGACCAAAAAAGGGAATTGTGTTAGGATCTGCATTCAAATTTGAAAGTAAGACCACATGCCATGGCTCCAGTGATGGGTGTGCGAGAGTTGGCAAACCAAGTAGTGGCAGGGGAACATTTACCTCCAGTTGAATCGGTCTATCCAATTCTTGGGCATTGAGGTCCATGTACTCCATAGGCTCTACTGGGGTGGAAGGAATCAGGCGCTCATCCCAGATGACTGTGTAAAGGTCGCCGTCCAAGTCTCCTCCAGAGCATTCATTTGGATGTGGTCGGGGTCCGGTTTGTGGAAAAACTACACAGTCTACTATGTGGTGAAGAGCAGGTACGTCAACAGCAACGAGGACTCGCACGTCTCCAGGATGCAAGCAAGGATTCCTAACTACAGCCACCAAGCCTGTGATAACAGCGTGCACGTCATGGAGCAAGGCAGTTCGGCCTGCTCCCGACCCACGCCTCGAATGACTCCCTCCATTTGGTAATTGCTGCAAGTCCTGATCATCAGTTGTGCATGTAACTTGGATGAAAACTTCACCATGGGCTAGCATTCGTGTTTCATCCATGCACCCAAGAAGGCACCTTCCCTTTTGGACGAACATGCGCGCTTTGCTCCGCAAATCCAGAATGTTCGCTGCACGGAATGCACCCAGCATCACTTGAAGGTGCGGCTCTAACGTTGGGTGAAACCCTGACTCCAACATATGTGTCATAACGTCATGGACCTGTCCTGCGCACATAACACGTAGAAGGCCCAAGGCTACCTCGGGATCATCAATCATGAAATCGAGGAAGTGAATCATAGCATCTTGCAGCTCTATAAATATCTGGTCTGGGATGCCCAGCCCGGACAGTATGTTGATGATCTGGCGGTTGAGGAAGCATGGAAGATATTTGGAATGTGTAATCTGCAAGCAACATTACAAGAAGGATAACAAAACCAACTCAGAAAATACTCATAGAAACACATACTTATGTAGACCAGAAAACCAAAAAACTCAGCTAATTATGTAATCTCACAGTTCCCAAAGCACATGGAAATGTGGAAAATTGGAAATGCAAAAGCCAGAAAAACCTATGTTGGGCCGTCGCCCAGCCCGGCACGCCCGGCCAGGCACGCTCGGGCCAGTTGGGCAGAGGGGGGGTCGTCCGGCAAAACCAGACGGGTCAAAAAAGAGGCAAGGATCCCGAAAAAAAAAAAAAAGACTTCAGGCCAGGACTGCGCTTGGCCCAAGCAGTCAGAATCCGGTCTTAACTTCGGTTTTGGTGATGGGTCATCCAGGGGGGTTGGCGGGTATAAACAGTGACTAAAGGGCTTAAAAGGGTACATTTGGAGTCTTTTGGGACTCAGGTTTTCTCATTTATTTTTATCTTGAAATTAACAAGGAATTTCGAGGTGGCCCTCAGCCGAAAGTCGTTTGTATTGCAATTTTACACACCATATTTTTTTTTCGGATTTTTTTGAAAAAAAAATATTTTTTATTTTTTAGAATATTATGCGCTGGGATCGCCCGGGACCCTGCCCGGGCCCTGCGCGGTCCGGGCCGCCCGGGAGGGTACCCGGGCGACCTTCCCCCAGCCGGGCCGCCCGGGGACTAACACAGAGAAAAACCAATGCAGAAATTCCACTGCCAATGTTGCCATCCTTTTCCTTTTCTTAAAATCACTATGGATCACACCCCTATGAATGCCTCCCATGCTTCCACCCAAAGTTGCGTCGTTGCAGACTGATAACCCAACATAAACAAGCCAGGCTCAACAAGTAAACAGCACTAAACACTTCAAGGCTGATGATGCAGCAACAACAATCAAAGCTCAAGAAGCGCCAGGCATTTGGTTTATTTGGCTGTCAACCGTGCATCCGTACTACATGGAGACCTCAGGCTTCTCCTCCCCCTGCTGCTCGTAATCACGCATCTCTTCGTCCCTTCTTCCTTCTCCTGCATTTTTCCCTCCTCATCTTCTTTATTCTAACTCATCCTGGCGCTTCCACCACTGTTCTTCCTCCCCTTGTTTTTCCTCCTCCAACTTCCATTGTTCATAGCTCCTCCTCTGCCTCTTCTTTCTCTCCATTCTTGAACTCCTCAAAGTCCTCCTGCTTCTTTTCCTCCCCATCCTCCTGATTCTAACTCCTCCTGGTGCTGCCACTGCTGTTCCTCCTTCCCTTGTTTTTCCTCCTCTGACTGCTGTTGTTCCTGCTCCTCTGCCTCTTCTTTCTTTCCCTTCTTGAACCTCCTTAAACTCCTGCTCCAGCTCCTCCTTCCCCTCCTGTTCTTTCCTCTCCTCCTGATTCTAACCTTCCTGGTGCTGCCAATGCTGTTTTCCTCCCCTTGTTTTTCCTCCTCCAAGTGTTCCTGCTCCTCCTCTGCCTCTTCTTCCTTTCCCTCCTCCTCCTGCTGCTGCTGCTATAGATTTCTCCGCTGTGGCTCGTCCTTCCCCTCCTGCTCCTCCCTCTCCTCCTCCCTCTCCTCCTCTGCCTCCTCCTCCTTTGCTGGTCCTGCTTTCTTCTCATTCCTTCCTCCCACTCTCATACAGCCACTCATCCTCCTCCTCCAGCTGCTATTGCCACCGCTCCTTGCTGTGCTGGTCCTCCTCCTCCTCCTCCGTCCTCTGCTACTGCTGGGTCGTTGTTTCCACCCCATCCTGCTGACATGATGTCACCTCCTGCTTGCCAATGCAGTTTCTAGGACTTCCTGCCAACCACATCACTAGCCCTCAGTTGCTGAACCCCTGAATCTCCAAATCGCAACCCAACAATAACAGCTGCTGAGCTGGCAAACTTGGGCAGGGGTGACCACCCATCTGGGCAAACATCGGTGGTGCAGCCATGCCAGCGCCAAGCAGTCTAGTAGGAAAAAATTCCCCGCCGAAGTTCAATGATCACGAATCATGTTCGCTGGTTCTGGCTTGGTCGACAGGTGAACCTTGACATAATCAATGTGTATATTCAGGCATCTGGAAAGCAGCAATGAGCTTAAACCACCACTACCTTTCCCGCAGTTCGGAAAACGAGAAAAAAAAAAGTACTCCGAAATAACCGGCCCGATGACAGCCGCCGCTGATAAATCTCATCGGCGGCCGACGTCTCATTTCGGCCTCCTAAAAGACCGGAGCCCCACCCGAGGCCGACATCGGAAAAGGTAGTGGTGGTTTAAGAAATATTTAGCACAAGTTAGCAGCCCGTGACCCGGTAGTACATCGACCGCCAGGCAGTCCAGAAGGTACAGCTACCTACAGTACATCATCCAGACAGACCATGAGGTATCTGGAGCACACAGCAACCTTCCGACCTTGACCATCCATCAACAAACTCTTTTTTTTTTTGCTTCTTCGTTTCTTTCTTTCAGTCATCTAGTTCCATCTGGATTCGAACTCAGTCAGGTCTCTATTTCAACAGTTCATTGGTGTACCAACTGAACTAGGCCTACTGACAAACTCATTCGGCATGGACATCCATTTTCCAGGACCTCAGCAGCACAGATATCATCTGCATGCCTGCAGCCAAGCTGCCTCCCATCAATCAGTCCTTCAAAGTATACTACACATTCGCTAATGCAGACACTTGCTGGCTTGTCAGTTCTGGGATCTGCCTGCTTAAACGTTGAATTGTGTAGCTGAAGCAGGAGAGAGAGTGTACCCCGAGGTAGGTAATACAGAGCCAAGCAGTGTGGGCAACATAGCAGGTGTGATACTAAATCAGTGAGAGTTATTCAGGCATCAGTCCCTCTGTCTACAGAGTTAGTCTCTTCATCAACGATTATTTATAGGGGTGTATTTCAGCTTCCTTTCCCCTCCAGACATGCGTGGAACTGACTCAGATAATTCTTTTTTTCCCCAAAAGGGTGACGGTCTTGTGCATGGCTATGATCCGGACGTCCGGACCTCAGTCCAGATGGTCTGGATTCAATCCGGACTCCAGACGTCCGGTCCAGAAGGTCCGGATTTGCCAAATTTCAAGGGGAAAAAAAAAAAAGACGGTCCAGGACCCTTCCACACTAAGGATGTTACGGACTCAGCCAGGGCCCGATCCCTGGTCCGCGGGTTACCACCCGCCAGACTGCTATTTTATTTTTGAGTCCCTGATCTCCGGTTCCTGACTGTTGGCGCCCTCCGCAATTGGCGCCCGTTCTCAAATCCCTCCTCTGGCACTTTCGGATTTCGATACTTGGCGCCATCCAGCATTCTGGCGCCCAGGCTCAGACCTTCGATTTTTAGTTCAGCCCCGAGGCAAATTGCATCTGCCCTCAGGACTCAACTTGAGCCTGGTACCTAAGACCAGACTCAAGCTGCTTTCGGGCGTGCAGTTTTCAGCCTCAGTCCTTGTGCTTCGGTGTGACTTGCTGCGACATCGTGTTCGGAATCCAAGATTGCCACTTTGCCACTTTGTGTCTGCATCCGTCGAGTTGTGTCGTCCGCGTCGAGTTGAGTGAGTGTGTGTGTACTCTCACTCTCCCTCTCTCTCCCAGCCTCGCTGCTCTGCCTCAGCCCCGTCACACTGGTATCGGAGCAGAAAACAGCCCTCCCTCCATCCCTGCTCCGGCACCGCAACCCCATCGACATCGTCATCATCATCACGGTTTTTGGTGCCGCTGCCACGTCATCATCGTCGTTGTCCTCATATCGTCATCGCCATCGCTGTTGTCTTCGTCCTCGCTGGCACGTCAGCACCTCTCTGCCTTCGTCCTCGCCGCTGCCACGTAACCACGTCCTCGCTGGCACGTCAGCACCCTTTCCATCATCACTGGTACATGTTCCTCTACCCTTCTCCTGAATCCATCCTCTGTGACCTTCTCTGATGTTGTTGACGAACAAGCCCGACACGATCGGCTTGTCAGATTAGGCACCGAACAACCGCCTCAACGCCATCATCTCCACTGCCTACTCATCCCGTTTCCACCTCAAGCCCGACACGATCGGCTTGTCAGATTACGCACCGAACAACCGCCTCAACGCCATCATCTCCACTACCTACTCATCCCGTTTCCACCTCAAATTTATCGCCGCCACCCTTGGTGCGTCTACAACCAAGTTCCGGGCCCTCTTTGACATTGGAGCTACCGATAACTTTATCACCGACGCGTGTGTCCACAAAGCCGGTCTCACCTCTACCGGTTACGACTCGCCGATTACCATCCGCCTAAGGGACAAAGACACCGCCGTCGTAGTAGACCGCATGGTCCCCGAGACCACCATGACTATCGGAACCCTCCGGAGTCAGGTCTCACTCAATGTCATGCACTTGATGTGCGACATTGTTTTGGGAACACCTTGGCTGGACCACTACATGCCATACGCGTTCCACCGCAACTTCTTCCGCCTCACCAACCCCCCCGACACGCCCATCGACATCCCCTATTTCCCCCGCCCTACCTTCTCAACTTCGTCACTCCCCACCAGTTTCTCCGCATGGCCCATCACAACACCGCATCCACCTACTACTTCCTTGTCCTTGATTGTGAACGTCATGAGGACTTGCGCCCTACAGACAAGCCCAATCAAGCCCCCCCTCCGACCCCGCCCTCACCTTCATCCTCGACGAGTTCAAAGACGTTTTCCCGAGTCCTTGCCTGTCGGATTATCCCCAAATCGCGGCGTATCTCATACCATTGATCTAGAACCCGACCACTCTCCGCCGTGCCGCCCTCCATACCAACTCTTCGTCCCGAATGCCGAAGAAATGAAGCGCCAACTAAATGAACTCCTTGAAAAAGGATTCATTAAGCCAAGCTCCTCCCCCTTGGGTACAAGCTGCCTTTTCGTAAAGAAAGGCGGAACCTCGAAACTCGGGATGTGCATAGACTACCGCGCCTTGAATCGGATAACGATCAAGAACAAGTACCCCTTACCTCGGATCTCCAAGCTTCTTGATCGCCTCTGTGGAGCCAAATATTTCACCAAGATTTACCTCCGCAATGGCTTCTACCGCATCCACGAAGACGAGCCAAATATTTCACCAAGATTTACCTCCGCAATGGCTTCTACCGCATCCGCGAAGAGGACACCCACAAGACCGCATTCCGTTCTCGCTTTGGGCATTACAAGTTCCTTGTGACGCCCTTCGGACTCACCAACACCCCTGCCACATTCCAATCCACTATGAATCAGATCTTCCGCGACCTCCTCGAAGGTTGTGTTGTCGTCTACCTGTTGGTTAGATTTTCTTGCCCAGTTCACATTCACCATTTGCCACACCCCCGACAAAAGCAACCGTGTTGCCGATGCCCTCTCTCAACGCCCTGACCATGAGCCCTCCGAGAGAGTCTACGCCACCATAACTCATATCCAACTCCTCCCATCACTCCCCACCGCTACACCCAAGGCTACCTCTCTTGTCCAGATTTCTAAACAATCTACAATGAACTTCGTGACCTCGACCCAGTCCCCGACTACTCCCTTCACTACCAACTTCTTTACATCGACACCAAAGGCAGTCGCCGACTTTGCATCCCCGACGCACGTGGCCTCCGTACCTAGCTCTTGGCCGAGCACCACGACGCCAAGACTGCGGGACACCTCAGGTTCCAGAAAACCTTCGACACCATCTCTTGCTACTTCTACTGGCCTTTCCTACTCGCCGACGTCAAAGCTTACATTTGCTCGTGCCCCACATGTCAAGCCATCAACCCTTCGAAACGGGCCAAACCCGACAAGTTAAAATCATTGCCTATTCCCACTCACCGGTGGCAATCCATCTCTATGGACTTCGTGTGCGTCTCCCAAGACTGACCTCCATCATGACTGCATCTATGTTATCGTCTGTCACTTGACCAAACTCGCACACTTCATCCCTTACACTACTTCGCACAACGCCAAAGACGTCGCCACTCTCTTCTTTGATATGTCGCACGCCATCACGGCCTCCCCGAGAATATCATCAGTGACCATGATCCACGTTTTCTCTCACAATTCTGGAAACACCTTTTCAAAGCATACGAACCACGCTCAGGTATAGCCCCGCATTCCACCCCTAAACTGATGGACAAACCGAGAACATGAACGATACTCTCCAAAGAATCCTCCGGAAGTATTGTCATACACACCAGCACGACTATGATCAGTTGCTCACAACTGTCAAGATCGCCTGCCCTTTCACTGGCATGTCCCCGTTCTACCTCAACCTTGGCTACCATCCCCGCTTGCCCTCCGACTTCTTGCTTCCTTCACAACTCAACCCCTCCACCCCTTGCCCTTCTCCCAATGAATGGTAGCGACAATGAACAGACTCCTCAGAGAAGCTACCGAAGCCCTTGATGAACACAAAACAACAAGCCAACAAGACTAACAAACACGAACATGACGTGTCATTAAAAAAAGTGGACAAGTCTGGCTCTCCACCCCCTGCCCTTCTCCCAATGAATGGTAGCGACAATGAACAGACTCCTCAGAGAAGCTACCGAAGCCCTTGATGAACACAAAAACAACAAGCCAACAAGACTAACAAACACGGACATGACGTGTCATTCAAAAATGTGGACAAGTCTGGCTCTCCGCCAAACGCTTTGAGCCCGAACACGGCTTGTCCAAGACACTCTCGAACAAGTGGCTCAAACCCTTCCCCATCATTGAACAAACTTCCCCCGTCAACTACAAACTCCAACCTTCCCCGACATGAGTCGTGTCCACCTTATCTTCCACGTAGTACCTAAAAGAATACCATGAATCCCCAACCCATATCCTAGACCTCCACAAATCATGTTACCCACAGGCCCTGAATTCGTCGTTGAAGCCATCATAGGACGAAGAACTACTCAGGTATCTGACCAACCTGAACCCATCACAGAATACGAAGTTAAATGGACAAGATACCCTGATGAAGAATCCACATGGGAACCTCTTGCTAACCTTAAGAATGCCATGAAACTTGTTCGCGCCTATGATCGCAGCCATCCTATATCCTAGCTACCCACTATGCCTAAACCCTGCCTCCATGCACTGCACACATCCCCTGTACCCAGCAGAACCCTTGCCCCTTGACCTCCCTCTGTCTGATCCGCTCTTGCCTCCATCTCGCCCCGTTCTCCCATCTGTCCTCTGCCACATCTCTGTCCCTCTTGTCCAAGTCCTACACGTGGCCCCTGCGTGTCGCCAGGGATAACAGATCTAATGGCAAGCGCACGAGGACGATGGCATGCTGCAGTTCAGTACGACGAGATAAGACAGCTGGTTGCCCACCATGCTGTTCCCTTTGGCCGGCACCTTGGACTCGTAGACTTTTGGAGCAGTACCTCTGACATGGACCATCAAGATCAGTCTGCGACCTGCTATCCGGATCAGACCTCATCATCAGATCGTGTACCGGATGCAACTTGCTACTGGGGCAATCAAGCTGAAGCCCTCGCCGTCTACATCAAAGAACTGCTGAAGACTGCTTCCTCACCGCCACTTCTGTGACACCCTCCAAGACCTTCCTCAAGACATTTTTTCGCTTTTGACACTTTGTTACAGACCTGAGACGTTTTCCCAGACCCCTCGGACACCCCAGCACTTGAGCATTGAACAAACAATTCCTTTTTTTCCCCTCGAACCTGACAACCTATAACCTTGTAGAACAACACGAGGACTGCCCTGTTACTTGTAGAACCTCAATAGGATTACCCTGTCACCTGAACATAGCTACCATCACCCTTGTAGAACCTCAATAGAATTACCCTGTTACTTGAGCATTGATTCCCTCATCCTTGTAGAACCTCAATAGGATCACCCTGTTACTTGAGCATTGATTCCCTTTGATTCCCTCATCCTTGTAGAACCTCAATAGGATTACCCTGTTACTTGAGCATTGATTCCCTCACCCCTGTAGAACCTCAATAGGATTACCCTGTTACTTGAGCATTGATTCCCTCATCCCTGTAGAACCTCCATAGGATTACCCTGCTACTTGCATTACTCCCCCTTTCCTTTTCTGACCAGTGATCGGCCCCGTCSCRTCCTTCACAGTTGTTCATTGGGTCTTTGGCAGCCGGGACGTTGCCTTCCAGAGAGAGGGGATAGTGTTACGGACTCAGCCAGGGTTCGATCCCTGGTCCGCGGGTTACCACCCGCCAGGCTGTTATTTTATTTTCGAGTCCCTGATCTCCGGTTCCTGATCGTTGGCGCCCTCTGCAGTTGGCACCCATTCTCAAATCCCTCTGGCACTTTCAGATTTCGATACTTGGCGCCATCTAGCATTCTGGCCCCCAGGCTCAGACCTTCGATTTTCAGTTCAGCCCCGAGGCACATTGCACTTCTGCCCTCGGGACTCGACTGGAGTCCGGTACTTGAGACCGGACTCAAGCTGAGTGCGGGCATGCAGTTTTCGGCCTCAGTGCGTGTGCTTCAGTGTGACTTGCAGCGACATTGTGTTCGGAATCCAAGGTTGCAACTTTGCGGCTTTGCCACTTTGTGTCTGTGTCCGTCGAGTCGTGTCCAGTCTGCGTCGAGTTGAGTGAGTGTGTGTGTGTACTCTCACTCTCCCTCTCTCTACCAGCTTCGCTGCTCTGCCTCAGCCCCGTCACAGAGGAGCCAAGCCCCCAAAATTGTTTTGGGGTTCAGGCCCGTTTTGTTTTTCTGGGGGGTCCGGACATGGTCAATCTCTATAACAAGTTATTGGGATAATTTGCAAAATACACCCATAATCATATATGTCAAAATGCCCCTAAAAGATGTGGGTAGAGCAGAATGCCCCTCTGACAAAAATAAAAATTCGTGAAATACCCCTGGCGTCAATTGGACCCCCATCTTCACAATATACCCCTACCAGGTACCGTCCAACTTCGCAAAATGCCCCAATACTTGCCAACTTCTCCTAGTCGCTATTGCAAAAGGCCAAGGCCCAAACGGGGAGGTCCAGACTGCAAAGTTGCACACCCGCCTGACAGGGGCACAACACACAGATTTTGACCCAAAAGGGCATTCCGCTCTACCCACATCTTTCAGGGGCATTTTGGCATATATCTCAACTTCTGGGGGTATTTTGCAAATTCTCCGAAATTCATTACTTTTTAAAGTCTTTTTCTAAGTTTTTTTATAGTTTTTGACTTTTTAACTCAAGTTTGGCAAGGAATTCTGACATGACTCTGAGGCAAAAGTGGTTTGAATTGTTCTTCTGCATAACATACTTTATTTTCAGATTTTTTTTTTTTTTTCTTTCAATGGACCGGAGTCCGGACATTCCCGGACCTGCTTTCCTGCCCAGCCCCAGGTAATACAGAGTTAGTCTCTTCATCAATGATTATTTATAGGGGGGTATTTCAGCCACATAGGCTGGGTTAACTCCATCAATCCTTTTTTTTTTTAATAAAAAAAAGGTCCTCACGGACCTGGCTCCATATCCATTCTGGGAAGCCGCAATCCGGTTCCTATTCCACCGGCAAGTAACTCAGTTAATCCTTGTCCCCAAAGAAAGCAAGAATCCACGCTCCCCTGTTGCTCTCCCAAATCTGTGCATTTGTCACTCACCACTTCGAGATCTTGGTGGATGGAATCAAACTTGACCATACTTGGTCGCAGAGACAACTTAAATGTTGAGTGGGGATCGACTACCACAAGACCCTTTGATCCTCCATAACGAATCTGGAACGCAGATGGGCAGAGGCCTCCATTTCGCCTGAGGATCCCAGCTTCTGTAGCAATTTCAAGAGCAAAAGATGCAGAGATTTTGCCGACACCATCAGAGAAGCAATACCTGCCATCAAAGGTCATCACATCAGGAATACTCTCCACCTCCTGAGCTTTAACCTTCTTAGTGGCAGTTGTTGACGAAAAACACTGGCCCATCCTTGCGGCACATTTTGCAATGTTTCGAAATTTAGAGAAATCTCCCATCCAGAGGCGGATGTTGCTTGGCCCAACCTGGCCGCCAGATGCAAAAAACCATACTGACTGCTCCCGCAGCTGGCTCGCAGAGAAAGCGAGGAACTCAAACCTCCGACTGCCTATTACAATTCCATCGCGCAGGAAGGATAGGATCCGGTCATACACAAGCGAGTGCTGCTTGTCCTTGCTATCAGGGAACAGGTTAGACCATAGTTCATGGGAGCACAGAGGCCCGAACCCTTCATCCGCAAAAGTGACTCTCAGAAACTCGCCCTGTTGCTCTTTAAACCTGCACATAAAAGTGAACCAATCGTCATCAACCACACATTTCCTGAGGGCCCAAGCTGAATTAGCATTTTGCCCCCCTCTTTTCACAGAAGCCCACCCTTCTCTCATCCCTTTTAAAATCTCCTTTTTTTAAGCCTCCATAAACAGGCAGTTGAAGTTTGTTGGCGACTCACAAGACAAAATCATAAATGCATTTTTATGGAAACGCACATGCAAAGGCAGGCACGGATGTTTCTCTCCCTCTCTTACTGTTCTCCAAAGATCTGATGGTCGTTCTTTCGGTCTGGCCTCATGAATCTGCATGGCTTGTGTGAAAGCGCGTAAGAGCATCTGGATCTGGAGTGAGGCATATGCACGTCCGCCATCATCACTGTACAGACTCCTTGACATGGGAACCTCCACCTTACTCAGCAAACCAGATTCGAAGATACAGCAGCATCGCCGTTGTGATATCCAGCTTTCTTCCGCAACACTGAGTCTGTCCATCGCATACCTCATCTGAACAGCTGTGTAAATATCTGATTGCATTGTTCTCTGACTCCATTGTAGCACCCAAGACACAAAGCAGCAGCAGCAAGCACATTTGGATCTTCCAGCTTCCTGACACCTTTGCCTCATAATTTTTCCAGATAGCTCGACTGTCCATTTGCCTCATAACTTTTCCAGATAGCTTGACTGTCCAACAAAGTCAATTCTCAATAGCGTCCCAGAGGCTTAAACTTCACGTCAGATTTTTTTATATTTTTTTTTAAACCACCACTACCTTTCTCACTAGGATGCTAAGTCTCAAAAGTAGCCTACTCCGAAGAAGCCGAGGCAGGGTTGAAGGCTGACAAAAAGAAAATGAGAAAAAGATCTGGAAGAAGGGAAAAAAAAGATAAGAACTTTGAAGTTTGAATCCAGCTCCGTCGGGGAAGGCCCTCACGGAGGTGGAAGTCACACCAGTGCTTTGAGGAATGTATCTGGCCACTATGTGCCGAATCGAATGTGATTGCTTTTTTTTTTTTTTTTTTTTTCACGTTGTTGTTGTGCCCTGCCAGCGAGGCAGGGCGTATTCCATGCGAGGCAACTAACTGCCTCACTTACCTCATGCTCACACAAGTACTGTAGCATCGTGAATCCGACCGCAATCACAGCATAAGGGATGCTTTTTTTTTTTCTTCTTCTGCTGCATATGCTGTTCATCGGACAGACGACCTCACTGAGGGCGCAATCCCACTAGCACCTCATAGAATGTATTTGATGGTTATCACAGCATTAGGGAAGTTTTTTTTTCTTTTTTTCTTCTTCGTTTTCTTTGTTTTCTTGTTTTTTCCTGGATGCAACTGCCCAGGCTCGGCAAAACTCGCTGCACAGTGAAATTCAGGTTCGGAAAAAACAGGATTCGGGGTAGTGGTGGTTTAAACACCCAGGTTGTTGTAGAGGTCGGAATCAGACTTTGGAAGATCCCCTGGGAGGCAGTCATCTGGCGTTCGGCTTGGGTTCTATGAGGTTGGGTTGGGCTACAAAGCTGTCTAGAGTGGGCCCATAATAGCATCCAATTAGGAGGCTGGAATAGGTAGGACTAGCTCCAGTCCCTGTTCACGACTGGTAAGCATTGGAGGGGCACGGCTTGCAATGGGACTTATGATAGTCTAAAAGTGCTCTGTATAGGTGGTCTTAGCCCCCTGGACCACCTATACAGAGTACTTTTGCAAGTCGTGTCCCTCCAACGCTTACCAGTTATGAACAAGGACTGGAGTATTAGCCTCCTGGACCACCCATACAGAGTATCTTTAGACTATCCTAAGTCCCATCGCAAGTCACGTCCCTCCAATGCCTACCAGTTATGAAGAGGGACTGGGGCCAGTCCTACCGATTCCAGCCTCCTAACTGGGCGCTATTATGGGTCCACTCTCGACAGTTTTGTCCCCCAACCCAACCTAGTAGAACCCAAGCCAATTCCCCATCGAAGGTGTGAATGACCAGCCACACTCCTAGTAATATGCACTACACCCCCAAGCTATCTCACCCTCTCGACAGGAAACTGGACCTCTAACTCCCCAGTCGAGCCGCACATTATCGGCATCCCCTCTCCAAGTCCATACCAACCCTATAGACCCCCCAGCCGGTCCCTCTTCTGCTTTCTACAGAATCCTAGTCCATACCAGTGTCCCCGGTACTATAGGAATCTTCTATGTCTGCACACTGTTTAGAGACGACCAGCCAGGATGTCGCAAAAAGTGCAGCACCTGAGTGACTGAAACGGAGATGCAAGGAATCTGCCGCAAGAAGTGGAGCAGCTGGTTGAAAAGTATCCTGATCTGCGAGAGGAGCCCACAAGAATTCTGGAAGGTGGTGAAGCACCCTATTCATCCGGTGCGTGATGCAGTACCTCCTAAGGCACGGATTCACTGCATGCCATCGCCTGCAGACTTGGAGTTGATGCTGTTCGGGGTGGTGAATGAACCTGCAACGTTTGAGTGAGCCATGAATGACTTGCTCAAGGACTACCTCAGTGTGTCCGTGGCGGTTTACCTCAATGACATACTTGTGGTCTGCAGTTCTTATGAGGAACATGTGGAACATCTGAGGTCGGTGTTCGAGAGGTGAGACAAGGAAAGTACAGGATCAACACCAAGAACAGAAAGTTTGGCAAGGAGAAGCTCCTCTACTGTCGACACATCTTCGCAAAAACACTCGGCCTGATGCCAAGAAAGTGGAAACGGTTGCAGACTGGCCAAGACCCAGGACAATCACTGAGGTGCGATCATTTCTTGGCATGGTTAGCTACCACAAGTTCATTGAAGGCCATGCCATGATCATTGTACCATACGGACTGATGACGGTGAGGTGACTTTTCAGATGCTCAAGGGGCGCCTCATCGACTCTCCTATCCTGAAGATACTGCATTCAACGGTGCCCTTTATATTGACAACAAACAGCAGCTAGTGCGGGATACAGCAGCAAGTACGGGATTGGAGCAGAGCTGCAGCCAGATAATGGCTATCGGCTCGCACTGATGGAATACGTCTCCAAGCTTCCAACCAAGAGTCGTGGCTTCCTATCAATTGGATGAAGGAAGCTGAACTGTAACAGAGGAAGGGAAGAGAGGAGGCCTAAATGCTGCCAGCAAGGGAAGTCTCCTTGATGAAGTCAGAAGAAGCAGGGGGAGTACGGAGAGAGGTCTCTGAGGCAAAAGAGGCGGTAGTACAGGTTCACTGCATTAAGAAAGGTATAGCCAGGGGTCACCATCATAGACCATGGAAGGTGGGGTTGAACTTCATGTGGGGTGGGGATGAAGAAGGTAGGAGGATTGTGAGGGCTTGACTGTCATGAACCAGCCCACTAAGGGTGGTTTGTTGCAGGACAACAATGAGGGGAAGGGGGGTTGCACACCCCAAGGGTGGATCGGAAGGGGCTGGCACCATAACAACGGGGGCAGGGGAGTTACTAAGCAACAAGGAGGGTTGGGTGGGAGCTCAAGTGGGAAAAGGGGGTTGTGACATAGAAAGGACCTTGAACAAACATTCCAACAGAACGACCATAATCAACCCCGCCACTCTTCTTTTAGACAAAGATCCCCCACCCCCCTCTCAAAGGATTCAAACCTTTTTTCTTTTCCCTAATCAGAAAGGGACCCTCTGGGCTATATGGGAAAGGAGAAATGCAATAGCTTCCAATGATACAAGCACCAACCCTGAGAATCCCCTCATCATCATCAAACAGATCGTTGACATCGAGATCCAAGTCCTCTGGAACAAAACAAGAAAACAGTTGCAAGAAGTACCTGATGAAAAATAGAGTTCATAAAAAAAAAAACACTATTTTGAGGCTAGGCAATGAAAAACTAGGCGCAACTGTAGGTGAAAGGCTAGTTCTCAAAGACTGGCTAGTTATTCCAGCACAGCACAACCTTCAACCACTCAGACATCCATCCAAAGCAAAGACGCCCCAGTTTCGCTGGTTGTTGACAAAAAAAAATCATGACTCCTGGAAAGGCGCGAAGCAGAACCTGATTACCTTCCCAACTACATATGTCCCTTGCTGCTCTGGTTCCAACACAGCTCATCATGTCAAGGTTTCTTGATTTCTTGAAAAAACTGGCAGGACCTTGGCAGATTCTCAGATTTACCAAAAAACTAAAAGTGAAAATCACTCCTTCAGGATCCGTTACAATTGGAACACTTCGGAGAAGATTAGCATGGCCCCTGAGCAAGTACGACATGCATGAATCCAGAAATGGCCCAACAAAAAAAATAAAAAAAAATGGAAAACCCTTCAAAGCCATGACCCTGCGTACTCTTTTTTTTTTTTTTTTTTTTTTTTTTTCAATGGTCCAATGGACCACGGATCAGATATTAAACTGATCAGAACAGATACTACACTTGATCTTTAGCCAAAAGGCCGAATGTTGCCACTCTTAGATGTCATTATAGTCATGTATACTTATTTCGGTTTCCACATCTTATGGAAAGAAAGACATGCACAACCAAACAGGTAAAAAGTGAAGGGCAGACTCACCTCCTTGTCACACGATTGCTTAGTTCGATTTCCGGCCCCTCGCAATTTACTCGGGTTGGTGTCACTATGAGTCGGCGCATATACATTTTCCCCTCCCCGGGATCAGCGTACTCCTTACCATCCCCTTTCTTCGACCATAATTTCATCAGTTCACCTCGCAGCCAATCCGAAGGATCATATGTTTTCTCCTTCCGTCCTCCATCATGCATTCTATCCAACGCTGACAGCACACGTTTCATTGATAGCTCACTCGAGGGGCGCAATAGTTCATAGAATTCGTCAGTCAGCTTTTGCGAGCATATAAGATTCTTCTGCAACAAACGATGAAGGGCAAAGACCACCTCAGGTGGAATGCCAGGCTTTCCAGACAACGGGGTTGTGGGTGGTGCACCTTCATCCACCCCCCTCATCCCTTTTGCCATATTATCTGCCTGGCATGTCTCCATGGGCCTCCACTCTTTACCATGCACATGTGAACCTACAACATGGAAGTCCTCAAGGTTATACATGACCACCTCCAGTTGTTGAATCATAGTCGATGGGAAAACAACGCGGTAGACCAAGCTCCGTCCAATACTTCCATTTGCAGTAAGGTCAACTGTCCTTGTCCATGATCCTTCATTCTCAGAACACCAGACATAGTCATCTAGTCGCTCTCCACTAACGCCCCCTGGCTGCATTAAACGCACATAAACCCCTGGCGGGTGGCAAGCCTCAAATATCACAGTATTAGCTGCGTCGGGCTTAGTTTGACCAGCCTTGTCAAACCGAATCAGCTCCTTGAATCTGAACACAAGCTTGATCTCTTGCAGGTAGACCGTTTGGTCCATTTGCCAATCCATTTGATAACCATTTCCCCACTGGAGGGAGAGATCATTTTTCATCCCACCAATGCTTCCTATGCGGACACAAGTATCGAGAATGACAACATCCACTTTTCGCTGAGGGAAGTCGAACTGGACCGTCGCTTGTCCAGGCTCTGATGCCCATTCAATGGAGAAAACATTCTCCTCGATAAGTGACCCAATTTCAACTGTCGCGCCTGGTATTGATACGAAGCCATGTTCCGGATTTCTTTTAGCTTGTCTCTTAAGTACTTTGACAGTGAGCTTGCGTTCCATGAGCATCAGCAACCCCTCCTCTCCAAGAAGGCAGGCCCTTTCAGCTGCCTCTTCTGTTCCAAAGGTCACTTTTGCAAAGCCTTTGGACTGAAGTCTCCCTTCCACAGTCTTCGTGACGATTTCGGATTTAAACAACTCTGCCTCTATAAAGTAATTTTTCAAAAGCCGTACTAGATCAGATACTTTGGCCTGATACGGCAAATTGCCAATGCCCACCAAAGTCTGCCCACCAGGGGCAAGGGTGCGCACACATGATCCATTTGCAGCCATGACTGATGATGCTGAAGGTGGAGCCATTGTTCTGGAGGTGGTTTCAAAAATTTATCGTAGCAAGTGCAGAAAGTAACCTGTGGCAAGTGAAGGACAAACTGTGTCAACACCAGAACCTCCAGAACATGAGGTTTGCATGAAGATTGTACAAGAGACATAATACAGATGTTACTATGATGTCCCAAACCCTCTTACAAGTTACAACAAACACCGCATACACTCATAGTATGTATACTTGGCAAACTAAGGACAACAGAGTAATATACGATCCACCGCTGATCCAAAGTTCCAAACCTATTTTTATTGAAACCTGTTATTTTCTCAACTGCCAACTTACTGAACATCGAAATCCGGGCTACTTTCCAGTCTCGGGGGTTGTTGGGGATTACAATCTGATTGCGATCTGATGCGACTGTAAATCATTGCAGAATCAGCCAAAACGAACCCACGCTTGGATTACTATCATTACAAGTTCTGGAATTTCACTCAGCATTGTCAGCAACCATCCTGTGAAGTTCTCACACCAATGCAATTTCATATGCTGCTGGTGTGGACACCAAGAAGATCCTTGCAAAAAGTACATTTAACCACCAGTCCATCCGTTCGCAGTGTTCATTCAAACTTGTATACGAGCACCAGCCCTGGGCCGATACTGCAACGGTTGGGGGAGAGCTGGTGTGATATGTTCGGCCCGCACACGGGCATCTTTGGGGTCCGACATTGGGTAGGGGTGTAGGTTGCAAATTCTCAGTTGTTTGTATGTGCTCAGTCCTTTGTCTGTTCGAGTTTTGTCTGGCCTGGATACTTCACTTCAGCAGTCCAATTCGCTTGTCTGATTCTGGAGTTTTCAGTCCGATTGTATCGCGCCAGCATTCTGGGCCGATTCAGGCCCAGCGGCCGTAATTTAGGCCAGGTGCAGTTGTTCTTAGGTTGGACCTCATTTTGGTCCAGCACATATTTTCGTCCCTCGTGGACGACAGGGGCCTGGATGTCCGGTAGGGACCCAGGCAGACCAATGTAGGCCAGGTTCACGACCAGGATTCGAGCCTGCGTCCTGGACCGTTGATCGGCATTCCAATCGGACGATCCAGGATGCAGACCGGAGCTGCATCTACTAGGCCTAGCGCTAAATATAGCTGGGTTGTTCCCATTCTTGCAAGGAAGTATTCGGAGGTGCACCTGGTCGAGGAGTAGGCTTGAGGTAGAGAGATAGGAGGTCGAGGGCAGAGGCCAGGGACGTGTACCGTGAGGTCAGTGGTTGGTGCCCACCTCAGGGTATCAGTTGTAGGGCAGTCGTCGATGCTTAACCACAGCCGGCATTAAGGTGGATTATCACTTACAGTGTAATCAGTTAGGGGATTCTGCAGACTGTTGAGGGTTCAGCCTCCTGATGAGTCGGTGAAACTCCGACGAAACAGTTTGTCACAGGCCCTCGTTTGTTGTCCACTTTCCCCTCTCTGCCTACGGTTTACCCATCAGCTCTGTTTGACTATATATTGTCAAACAGAGTTGCCCGGTAAACCGTAGGCAGAGAGGGAGAAGAGGGACAACAAACTAGGGCTTGTAACAAACTGTTTCGTCAGAGTTTTACCAACTCATCATATATAATATATATAGATATATAGTCGAACAGAGCTGCTCAGTAAACCGTAGGCAGAGAGGGAGAAGAGGACAAAAACGAGGGGCTGTGGCATATATATATATAGTGAAACGATTTTCACCTTTTTGCAGAAGCAGATGCAGATCCCAGGGCTCGATCCCTAGACCTTACCTGCACCCGTGAACAGTATCGAGTAGACCCCTGTGTGTTTTGAGCCCGCGACCGGTGCTTTAGTAATGCCTGTTCTTTGTCATAGGTCCCCGTAGCTGTAGGGATTTGATCTGTAGATTTGTCAAGTAGGTCTACAGCTGTGTAGAGGTCGAAAGTGCTAGGTTAGAGGTCTGTAGGCAAGTCATAAGTCCAACTGCATCGAGTCGGCAGTGCAACTGCATGCAGTCAGCGGTACCAGTCCCAGTCAATCGCAGTCCAGTCAAGCAAGTACAATGTGGGACTGTGTGCACCAAGGGCCTGGAGGAAAGGGGCAGACCAGCGATCAACAGAAGTATAAATCAAGAGGCAGAGTCCAGCAATTCATTCATTCCCTGCATAAGCCATGCGGAAGCGCTGCCCCAGCGTCTTGTGCAAGGTGGTCTGCTGTTGCATACTGTAACTGTGCAGACCAGAACAAGAACCGACCTCTCAATACAAAGTACAAGATAGCGTACCGGAAGACTTAGATACCAATGATCCAAACAATCAATATTGCAAGGCAGCCCTGAACATACATCATCATCATCGTTCCATGGTGTGAAAGGGGTCTGGCGCTTCACACAGGAAGACTGCACCAGCCCCAACCATACACAGACGAAGAAGAAGGGGGTTAGACGAAAAGGAGGGGAAGATGGGAATGTCGTCAGCACCAAGTCTTCGGCACAGGCCCAAATAGTCCCTCGTCAAAATGTCTGAATCCCAAATGTCGAGTCTGGATCCAATGTCGTCAAGTCCCAAATCACAACTCTCTCTCTCTGTAGTAGTCCGCTGATACTGAGAAGTCAGGTGGTGAGAGGGGAAGAAGAGATGGTGGACATAGAAGAGGAAGAAGAA